AGTCTCAGCAACACAGCCACACGCACAGCCACCAAACACCACACTGCCCCAGGTCCAGGAGCTCTACCTGGAAGAGCCACGTGAAGAGACCAAGCGATGCCCCTCCGATGCTACAGCAAGGCTGGCCACGGACAGCAGCACTGCTCAGTGCTTCTGGGCCAGGACAATGGGTCCCCAGCCAGCCACCGAGAGCAGCGACACCCCCAGTGAGCAGGACCCCCTGTGCCAGGCAGCAGCCTTAGACAAGCTCTCTGCTGTCAGGGGCTGCTCAGGCTGAGCCCGGCCACTCCGCAGCCAACGGGCAGCCCATCCTCTCCCTCGCGAGAGCCAGGGGCCGGCAGAACCAAAGCCTCCCCGAGCCCTGGCTCCTGAAGACACCATCTGCTGCTGCAGACGTGTCGCCTCCCTTGCCCCAGATATAGGTCAGGTCTGTCACAGGATTAGCTGGGGTGATTCGAGTGGCGTGACCACGTCTCTGCTGGAGCCACGCTCTGCCCCATCCCCTCCCCAACACCCAGCATGCCCACAGCTCGCCTCCACGTTCCCCCTGGGCCTTTCCCCAGGTCCAGTGAGAGGAAGAGGCCTCCGATCCTTCTCTCCCCTTCCCAGTGCCTGGAAAACAAGTGGGAAGAAACCAGCACCAAGCACCCAGAAGCTCACAGGCTGCGGAGTGGTGGGGTGCAGCAGGAGTGTCCCCACCCTGCCCAAGACCTGACACAAGCACCAGGGGACATGGGACACCCCAACACCAGCAGCTAACACAGGGTGAAGCGTTTTTCCACTTGGGAGATGGGGCGAGGAGCTCCCTCCCCGCTCCACACACCCCAGCGGAGCCGAGTTCACTGGTTGCGGAGGCAGGACGCCTCTGCCATGATCACACGCCACCCACTCACACCCCCAGACTGACAGCACTCCCGTCAAACGCCTCCAGCCACACACACGTGGAGGATGCTGACATGAGGAGCAAGTAGCTGCACAGGCAGCGGAACTGATAACGCCTGGTTTCCTGTCGATCTCTCCCACGTGGATTCTCTGATGTCTAATAGCAAGGCTGAGCTGCACTGCAGAGGGAGAACTAGCAGCACTTTCCCCACCAAGAGCCAGAGCCCGCAGCAAGCCAAAACTTCTGAGACAGCTACCAAACCTGATACCTACCACAATGACACCATCCAGCAAGTTCAGAGAGAAGGAGACTCGCAAATAAACAGTAAGCTTGCACAAGCCTTCATTTCCTCAGGACAGGGTAAATAATCAGCAGAGATATCTCCACCTTCCTTCATTTGCCCTGGAAACACCAGTGTGACCTGCATAGCATGACCAGAAGGCTGCTGGTGCAGCAGCTGGGCCCAGCTTGGGTACCTCTGTAGCTCAGCCACATCAAGCAATGGGTTGTGTCCTCTGCTCTCCTGGGTGGACTCTTCTGCCCCAGACAGCAGCACATTGAACCACGCTCACTTCTCTCTGTCCTGGTGTCCTGCAGCAGCCAGCTGCACATGGGTAGGGGGAGACGAGCAAACGCCGCCACATCCATCCCCAACCTGCTACCTGGGCAGCCTCTCCAGTCCTCCCCTTCCTTCCTACCACAAGACACCACAGTTCAGGACTCTATACTCCTTGCCTCTTCACGTTTTAGTTCTCCTTTCAGAGAACTCTTTTCTAAAACAGACCTAATCTCTCCTTAGGCAGAACCAGCCCCCTTCTCCATCCCCACACAGCATCCAGCTCATCTGCCACCTTTCCTCAAGCACCCCTCCAAGTCCAGCCTGCTCTCTACATGCTGTGGACAGTGTTAATAGCATCTGCCAAGCAAGCGGCCAAGGGCAGGAGGGGCTGGGCTCCAGACACCTTCCCCACTGCTCTGCCGGCTGGGCTCAGGCGGAGCGGCAGTCTCTGGTGCCGAGGCTCCAGCAAAAGGATACGAGCAGAGCCAGAAGCTGACTGGTGGATGGCAAAGAGCAATTTCGTTACCACTCAGCAAAACGAAACGTCTCTTGAAAGCACTAGTGACAGTCAGGAAGTTGGGTTGGGTGTTTTGTTTTGCATTTTAAGAAGCCTGCAGGGACCGACAACCTGCAACGATTTTTTTCAGAAAGGAGCTCAGAGAAATCCACGGTTTTCAGCAACCATTTACCCTCTTTTGTCCTTGATTTAAAAATTGCCAAGAGGCTGCTTACAAGATGCACCAAACAGGCAGTGTCCACTGCCTTAAGTGTGAAGGAGGCTTGCCACAATACCTCCCCAGTACCTCACTCACAGAGAACCCCACACCAGTGCCTGGGGATGGTTTTAAGAGCAAAAACATGACTTCCAAGCTGACAGCCCCTGTGCACAAAGCACGACTGTGCGGCGACAACAGAGCAGCCTGGGGCACAGGAGCTGGCTGACCTCTGCTACAGCTCTCACAGGCAGATTTTTATTGTTCACCACTTTCCCAAAGCGCAGGCACGGAGGGAAAAGCAACTAAGACACTCGGCTCAAAATGCAAACACAGCCAGGGAGCCCCATCAGCACAGCAGGGAAAAGACAACCTGCCAGTGGGGACCACGACTCAGCACTGCCAGGCTGGGGGGAGGAAGGACCGGAGCACAGGCCCTCCCTTCCCGGGGGTGACAGCAAGGGTTGCTGGAGCACTGAGTCACCACGACACTGGCTCACCCGAGAAGCAGCAGCTCCTAACAAACAGCAGCATCACAGGCCTGTCCTCCACTCTGCATGGTTGAGCTGAAATCCCTTATTCTGCTTTCCAGGGTAGCCAGCTCTAGCTTTGCAGCCAGCAAGGCCAGGTCTCCAGGGACCAGGCTGCAGCTGGAAAATAATATTCCCCAGGCCTGTCATGAGCATTGCTTGCTGGGGACACTGCTTGCCTCGCCTTATGCCATTCATGCAGCGAAGTGGGGAGCCCTCCCAAACCACCCCACTCCAGAAAACCCAGACATCCCGCATTGGACCCAGGCTCCCACCGGCTGCTCATGCCCTCCAGGAAATGCCTCCTGCCCTGACAGGCTGAGGACTAGCAGGTGCAAGGGCGAAGGAAAGGATAAGCTCCCTGGGGTGGCTCTTCTGCCCAGAGAGTCGGCCAGCTGGCTTCTCCCAGCACCCTCATGAGCTGACAGCACAGATCCATGCTGCTCCCCTCCAGAACTGACCTGTCCCAGGGACCCACGCAACATCCTCGTGCAGCTCCATGACCACAGGGCTCAGGGCCTGGTTGTCCTGAGTTCCTGCCATGCCAACGTCAGAGGGCCTCTGGGAGGGCTTCCTAGCACCAGCAGCTTCCTCAGACATTTTAGCAGCCTCTGGACACATCAGAGTGGCACCCTATGAGCAGTGCCTGCCTGGTAGGTGCACAAACCCCTTGGCCAACCATTCACCTACACAAGGCAGGTGACAAACCACGTTTCTCCAGCTAGCCCCAAGCAGGGAGCCAAGGAACGGTGGGAAAACAACGTGCACCAGCTCCTCGATTCAGAGATGAAAACCCAAAAGCATCCAAAAGCTCCATGCTTTTCTGCCGAAAACCAGTGCCGTGCCGCTTGCTGCCAGCTGCCCAGCCACCACCTCCCCAGCCGTGCCCCGCGGCTGGCCTCACGTGACAGTGAAGTGGATGCACACAGTAGGAGTGGCTGTAGTGACAGCATTACAGCTTGTGTCCGACACACAGCTAAGCCCAGCAAATCCCAGCGCTCTGCAGCTCTCATTTACAAACCCCACACGCTCTGCGCAGGTACACAGGCTTCACTGAGAGCTCAGTGCCCATGGCCCCGAGGAAATGACACCTGGAAGGAGACAGCCCAGCAAGCACAGGGCTCCCAAACTGTCTGATGTCCACCAGCACGAGGACAGGTCCACACCAAGCCCCAGCGAGAAGCAGAGCTCTTTTTACATCAGGCCCTGCTCAGGCTGGGAGGCCACCTTCTCAGGGTCAGCCCAGCCCCCTCTGCTATTTCAGCACAGCTACTCCCACCAGGGAAGCGGGGACACCTGGCAGGACAAGCAGGACTTCACCCCATCCTGCTCAGCTCTGACCAACTTCACTTCGCTCCCCACCACTGCCCCGGGGTGGCAGGACTTCGCCAGCTCTGCAGACACCTGGAAGAAGTGCTGTGAGCTCAAGCCCAGGCCCTACCTGCCGGCTGTTATTTCATTCCTCTAACAGGTCCATAAAACAGGCATAATTAAATCTCCCCTAAACTCTCTTCCATTTAAAATAAAAATCTATAGTCCCTATTTCATTAGCTGGCTCTGGGTTTTACAGCTTGATCAATTCCCCTCGCAGAGCCCTGGTCCCAGGCACAGGCAGATGCAAACACAGCGGGCAGCTTCCACGGTGCAAATCAATGGGGATTCGCAGAGTGTCCTCTCCCGGTTCTTTGTTCCTCGCTCACCAAAGGGGAGCCACACAGCGCAGCAGGTAGGGACAGTGTGTTTCACCTCTCATGGGAACATCACTGCCATGCATGGCCTCAGAGGTCAGATTTAGCACCTGGCAGGAGCAGAGGCAGTGGCCATGCTCCCCCTCCAGTGAAGGAAGAGCCCAGCACAGGGCCCCATAAATGCAGCCATGACCCCAAAGGCGAGGCAGCCCAGCATGCAGGCGGGGTGACACCTCTGTGCTCGCTCCAAGGTGAAGAGGGACAAGGCTTAGCTCTCAAGGCTGACGGCCAGAGTCAGAGCCCTCCGCCAGCATCAACTGGGAACCAAGAACAGCCACCACCGCTGTGA